GACAGACACCCCCACCAAGCCAATACACATAAACACATACATCCCATAATAGTTTGCTCCCAAGCAAGACACACACAATAGAACAATGGGACCACGTAGCAGTAAACAATGAACAACCTTCACACCCCACCTATACATGTCTACACAATATTAGGACAGATCAGGGCGGGGCAATCTACAATTAGTAACAATAGACACACCAACACACAGTCCCATCAGGAGGGAGGGCTGCTGGAGACACCCCCCCACCAAGCCAATACACATAAACACATACATCCCATAATAGTTTGCTCCCAAGCAAGACACAATAGAACAATGGGACCACTAGCAGTAAACAATGAACAACCCCCACACCCCACCTATACATGTCTACACAATATCAGGACAGATCACCCTGTACCCCTAACAGGCACAGGGTGACTTACACATAAGAGGGATATGGGGAGCTGAGACAGGGGTCTCCCCACCTCTCCAAAGGGGGCTGTGTTCCATGGGCCCCCTACCCAAAGTGACTCCCGTCAGAAACGCAAATGTGCGGCCGCTCGGCGTCTAGGCCCAGACACCGGGAGGCGGCACATTCGTGTTCGGCCGGCGCCAAGAGGTTAAGGGTGATCATGGTCCACAAGTTGGCGGTCCTGGCTTAATTTGAAGGTTTAGGTGAGCCAATCCAGTAGGTGTGCAGGGTATGAATGGGACTGACCAGTCACTGGGCAGGCTGTAGGTGGGGCCAATTGTGCTCCGAGGACCAGGACTGAAATATTGATACAATTTGGTTCTCTTTGTGGCAGATTGCCATCTCTGAAATATAATAAAGAGTTCACAAACACAACACAATCCTGATGATTGCTCCTTTCATGGTTTGGATGGGAACTGTTGGCGCCATGTTTTTCCCGTCCATTGGATCACTCTTACGTTTCTTATTCACCCAAAGTTTGTTCTGCGTATATTCAGCCTCGGAGCTCGGAGACAAGTCGTGTTCTCTGTTAATTCTCAGCCTTTGGTGTTTAAGGCATTAGAGGAGTTTGGATGCTAATTGTATAATTGCCGCTCCATTAGCAAGTTTGCATTCCTTGATAAATGAGCCCAGTGGAGCTCACGGCTGTCAATATTGCGAGCAACGCGTGCGGCTGAAAATGAAGGCAATCAGCTTAGAAGGCTCTGGGGGAGAGATCACGGGTCTGAGCTTGTCATGTTCACGGTTCAAGGAAAGGTTTTCCATTTTATCCATTGACTGAGCTGCAGCACCTCGGACTAGGACAGGCAATGGAAGGCAGCAAACACTGCCCATTTCTTCTGCTTAACCTCCGTACACCCTGTTCATGGTTCCATCCAGGGGCAGACTGAGAACTCATGGGGCCCCCGGGCAATAGGGGATCATGGAGCCCCTGTGTTCTCACCCACACTCAAACCACACCCAAAAAAGCCTATGAAAGGTACTAGGAGTTTCTGATGGGGCCCTCTACTGACCCTGGGCCCGAATGGTCAGTCCGCCCCTGGTTTCATCATAATATGAATATTATTAAATTAGACCTCCGGCTTTCTCTTCAGTCTTGCACAGTTGTACCGGCTTCTCTCCTGGACTGAAATGGCTTACTCTGATTTCACTGCACACTGTGAGCTTCTCACAATGTGAATTAGAAACTGCAGCAAGTCAGAAAGAGCTCCGCCTCATTTCCTGGCTGGAGGACATCCGGTGTCTCTGGCCCGGGCATCACGCAATATGCATTAGAAGCTGCAGCAAGTCAGAAAGAGCTCCGCCTCATTTCCTGGCTGGAGGACGTCTGATGTCTCTGGCCTGGGACTCACACAATATGCATTAGAAGCTGCAGCAAGTCAGAAAGAGCTTCACCTCATTTCCTGGCTGGAGGACGTCTGATGTCTCTGGCCCGGGCTCACGCAATATGCATTAGAAGCTGCAGCAAGTCAGAAAGAGCTTCGCCTCATTTCCTGGCTGGAGGACGTCCGGTGTCTATGGCCCGGGCCTCACGCAATATGCATTAGAAGCTGCAGCAAGTCAGAGCTCCACCTCATTTCCTGGCTGGAGGACGTCTGGTGTCTCTGGCCTGGGACTCAAAACAATATGCATTAGAAGCTGCAGCAAATCAGAAAGAGCTCCGCCTCATTTCCTGGCTGGAGGACGTCTGATGTCTCTGGCCCGGGCCTCATCGGCCCAGCTGGAGGACGTCTGGTGTCTCTGGCCCGGGTCTCACGCAATATGCATTAGAAGCTGCAGCAAATCAGAAAGAACTCCGCCTCATATCTTGGCTGGAAGACCTCCAGTATCTCTGGCCTGGGCCTCATCAGCCCAGCTGTCCCCCTGCCTCTCCTCTGTACTGGTCTCTATATCATCTCATGACAGCCGCACCAGCAACAGTCCTCTCAGTGCCAGGATGGACTCTGACTGCATAGAAACATGGCCTCGGCCTCCTGCATCTTGTGAAGGTTCCTTTCATTTTTCATTTTTTTGGTCTTTCCTTCCATTACTTGGCAGCTCACCCAAAACAAGTGATACTGGAGTGTCATTGAAGATGCTGTACGACACATAGCTTCTCACGTAACTCACCCACGTATAGAGGGACATTGGGGTGAGGGGTGTCCAGTCAGGTGGGCTGTATTGTTCTCCATGATTTCTCATGGCGGGATTATTTTTATAAAAGCTGAAGATTTAGCATTATTGAAAATTCAAAGCAGAACTCAATCCATCAATACTCACCTCAACCCAAGCTCCCTCACCAGCACCATCATCTTCTACTGGCTTCTTTCAGGTTAGGAGACTTCCCATCTTGATTGGCCATCTTGATTGGCCGGTTGGTGCTCACAAATTATTCAGTTGCGTTTTAATGGAGCGTAAAGGGTTCCTAGAGGTATGGTGGTTTATTGGTTGTGGACAATCCCTATTTAGCGTTTACAGTAGTGCAGTATATTGTAACAAACATTTAGCAGTACACAACCTGCGTCATAAATATATATTCACTATATTGCTCCAATTGTTGGGCCGCCAGCCTTTCCACGCACATGACCTTTAATGGCCCCCCAGTCTTAGTCCGTAGGGTTCAATATTGAGTTGGCCCCGTCCTTTCCACGCACATGACCTTTAATGGCCCCCCAGTCTTAGTCTGTAGGGTTCAATATTGAGTTGGCCCCACCCTTTGCAGCTATAACAGCTTCAACTCTTCTGGGAAGGCCGTCCACAAGGTTTAGGAGGGTGTCTATGGGAAGGTTGGACCATTCTACCAGAAGCACATTTGTCAGGTCAGGCACTGATGTCGGGGGAGGAGGCCTGGCTCGCAGTCTCCACTCTAATTCATCCCAAAGGTTTTCTATGGGGTTGAGGTCAGGACTCTGTGCAATCCCCCCTCCACCAAACTTTACACTTGGCACAATGCAGTCAGGCAAGTACCGTTCTCCTGGCAACCACCAAACACAGACATGTTGTCAGGAATGGACTTGCCAGTAATGGTGGGACTCACCTGCCTTGTGGGCTGCAGTACCAGGGCTGGCCAGCGGGTGCTCTCAGCAATCAGAGACTCAACCCTGCAGTCAGCCAAACACCTGAAGCTGATTGCAGGGGTTGTATTTAAGGAATGGCCAGACCTGCAGCCTGGGCCTTGGTGTAATGTCAGGGCTCCGGGTATGACCAGAGGTATGTGACTGACGCAGGGAAACGCAGGCTTCAGATATGGTATAAATAAGACAATTTATTGAGACTAACAATACAAACATAAACGCAGTGCACCCAACCCCAAGCTAACACAAATACATACAACAAGGTGAAACAAACCCAAACCTAAACTGATACAGATACACAGGTACATACACATATAGAGCACAATGTAGTCAGGCAGGCCGGGTCGATAACTATCGGGCAGGTAGGTACAGGAGGAGCAGGCGGAGAGAATGGTCAGGGTCACAAGCCAGGGATCAAAACAGGAGAAGTCAGCAGAGGTCAGGATCAGGCAGGGTCAGCAACAAGTCAGGCAGAGGCAGGAACAGGAACGCAGGTTACAAGATACAGGGGCCCATGGAAAAACACACACCAAGGCCCAGACTGCAGGTCTGGCCATCCCTTAAATACACCTCCGTAATCAGCTTCAGGTGTTTGGCTGACTGCAGGGTTGAGTCTCTGATTGCTGAGAGCACCCGCTGGCCAGCCCTGGTACTGCAGCCCACAAGGCAGGTGAGTCCCACCATTACTGGCAAGTCCATTCCTGACAGTACCCCCCCTCAAGGAGCGGCCTCAGGACGCTCCAAACAGTCCTAGCTGGGCAAAATGTTCCACCGCCCGGGTCTGGTAACTGGCGGGATATCAAAGACTGGCACATCGGGCTGGACTCCGGGCAGAGGCACATCGGGCTGGACTCCGGGCAGAGGCACATCGGGCTGGACTCCGGGCAGAGGCACATCGGGCTGGACTCCGGGCAGAGGCACATCGGGCTGGACTCCGGGCAGAGACACATCGGGCTGGACTCCGGGCAGCGGCACATCGGGCTGGACTCCGGGCAGCGGCACATCGGGCTGGACTCCGGGCAAAGGCACATCGGGCTGGACTCCGGGCAGAGGCACATCGGGCTGGACTCCGGGCAGAGGCACATCGGGCTGGACACCGGATCACTAGGCGGAGCAGCAGGCACCGGGCCCCCAGGCGGAGCGACAGGCATCGGGTTCCCAGGCGGAGCGACAGGCATTGGGCCCCCAGGTGGAGCGGCGGGCGCCGGGCCCTCAGGCGGAGCACCGGGCACCGGGTCATCAGGCACGACAGCGGGCATCGGGTCACCAGGCATCAGGTCATTTAGCTCGCCAGCGGGCACTGCGTCATCTGGCAAGGCAGTGGGCACCGAGTCACCAGGCACGACAGTGGGCTCTGAGTCAATTGGCATGACAGCGGGCACTGGGTCATCAGGTACCGGATCGTCTGGCTCGACAGCAGGCACCGGGTCATCTGGCGCTGGATCGTCTGGCTCGACAGCGGGCATCGGGTCACCAGGCATGACAGCGGGCACTGGGTCATCAGGCATTGGATCGTCTGGCTCGACAGCGGGCATCGGGTCACCAGGCATGACAGCGGGCACCGGGTCATCAGGTACCGGATCGTCTGGATCGCCACGGGCACCGGGTCATCTGGCGTTGGATCATCTGGCTCGACAGCGGGCATCGGGTCACCAGGCATGACAGCGGGCACTGGGTCATCAGGTACCGGATCGTCTGGATCGACAGCGGGCACCGGGTCATCAGGCATTGGATCGTCTGGCTCAACAGCGGGCATCGGGTCACCAGGCATGACAGCGGACACTGGGTCATCAGGCATTGGATCGTCTGGCTCGACAGCGGGCATCGGGTCACCAGGTATGACAGCGGGCACCGGGTCATCAGGTACCGGATCGTCTGGCTCGACAGCGGGCATCGGGTCACCAGGCGTGATAGGATCATCAGGCTGGATCAGTTCATCAGGCTGGGTACAGACATCAGGCTGAACCACGGAAGGCAGGTTCTCAGACGGCAGGCTCACCGGTTTGGATACTGGCAGGATGGTATTGGTTGGAAAGAATTTCGCTTTTTTCTGGTTTTAACTACTGGAGCACTGCAAGTAAACGCAGGTCTGCAAACGAATGGAGCAGCTGAGGACAGAGAAGAGCTAGAAGATGGAACAGAGGAGGGAGCAGCGGCCACAGAGGACCTCTCCACAGGGCCAAAGAAAGGATAGGTGCAGCGAGTGGGAGCAGGGGACTGGTATGTGGTAGTTAGCAGAGTATACTGGGCCGTCACTGGGGGTGCTGTCGGGGATGCAGGAAGAGTGCCTTGAGCAGAGGAATGATATTGCAAGCCGACTGAGGCTGGGTGCAACAAATCTGTCCATGTCTGCAGTACTGGTTTAACAAAACTCAGCTTACCTATAGCCTGTCTGACCAAAGACTGCACTGCGTTTATGCAATCCATGAGCACATGTGATGGACAAGCTGCATAGTGCTCATGGAAACAATCTGGATCATCCTCCAACAACCATACCAGGGATTCTACCTGGTCTGCACTAAATGGTGGCAAAAAGTCATTCCTGCTTTCAGGGGTACCAGATGAAGCCAACTCTACACAAACCTGAATCAAAGGTTGCACCTCAGAGAACTCTGTGCCCTGATCTACTAGAACATGAGCGATCCGTATACACTCTAGTAGTTGATCCCGGGGATACTCCCTCAGAGTCTGATAAGCATATTTTCTGTCATCAAAAACCAGCAGCGACAAATACACAACCTCATCAAGATCCATCCTTCCCAGCAACAAGCCAAGATGGCCTCCCTGTGCAGCCACTTCTGGTCAGGATTGGCCTTGGTGTAATGTCAGGGCTCCGGGTATGACCAGAGGTATGTGACTGATGCAGGGAAACGCAGGCTTCAGATATGGTATAAATAAGACAATTTATTGAGACTAACAATACAAACATAAACGCAGTGCACCCAACCCCAAGCTAACACAAATACATACAACAAGGTGAAACAAACCCAAACCTAAACTGATACAGATACACAGGTACATACACATATAGAGCACAACGTAGTCAGGCAGGCCGGGTCAATAACTATCGGGCAGGTAGGTACAGGAGGAGCAGGCGGAGAGAATGGTCAGGGTCACAAGCCAGGGATCAAACAGGAAAAGTCAGCAGAGGTCAGGATCAGTAGGGGTCAGCAACAAGTCAGGCAGAGGCAGGAACAGGAACAGGAACGCAGGTTACAAGATACAGGGGCCCATGGAAAAAAACACACACCAAGGCCCAGACTGCAGGTCTGGCCATCCCTTAAATACACCTGCAATCAGCCCCAGGTGATGGCTAATTGCCGAAGTGAACCTCTGGTTGTTGAGAGCACCCGCTGGCCAGCCCTGGTACTGCAGCCCACAAGGCAGGTGAGTCCCACCATTACTGGCAAGTCCATTCCTGACACATGTCCATTGGACTGCCAGACAGAGAAGTATGATTGGTCCCTCCAGAGAACACGTCTCCTCTGCTCTAGAGTCCAGTGGCGGCGTGCTTTACACCACGACATCCGACGCTTTGCATTGCACTTGGTGATGTTAGGCTTGGATGCAGCTGCTCGGCCATGGAAACCCATTCCATGAAGCTCTCTACGCACTGTTGTTGGGCTCATCTGAAGGCCACACCAAGTTTGGAGGTCTTTAGCTATTGACTCTGCAGACAGCTGGCGACTTCTGCGCACTGTGCGCTTCAGCATGCGCTGACCCCGCCCTGTCATGTGACGTGGCCTACCACTTGGTGGCTGAGTGGCTGTTGTTCCCAGTGGCTTCCACTTTGTTATAATCCCACTAACAGTTGAGCGTGGAATATTTAGTAGCCAGGAAATGTCACGGATGGACTTATTGCCCAGGTGGCAACCTATCACGGGACCACGCTTGGAGTCACTGAGCTCCTGAGAGCGACCCATTCTTTCACCAATGTTTGTAGAAGCCGCCTGCATGCCTAGGGGCTTGATTGTATACACCTGTGTCCATGGAGGGGATTGGAGCACCTGAATCACATGATATGGAGGGGATTGGAGCACCTGAATCACATGATATGGAGGGGATTGGAACACCTGAATCACATGATTTGGAGGGCGGGGACAATACTTATGGCAATATAGGATAGATAATAGATAGATAGATGATAGATAGATAGATAGATAGATAGATAGATAGATAGATAGATAATTGATAGACAGATAGATAGATAGATAGATAGATAGATAGATAGATAATAGATAATAGATAGATTGATAGATAATAGATAGATTGATAGATAGATAGATAGATAGATAATAGATAGATAGATAGATAGATAGATAGATAGATAGATAGATAATAGATAGATAGATAGATAATAGATAGATAGATAGATAGATAGATAGATAGATAGATAGATAGATAGATAGATAGATAATAGATAGATAATAGATAGATAGATAGATAGATAGATAGATATGAGATAGATAGATAGATCGATAGATAGATAATAGATAGATAGATAATAGATAGATAGATAGATAGATAATAGATAGATAGATAGATAGATAGATAATAGATAGATAGATAGATAGATAATAGATAGATGATAGATAGATAATAGATAGATAGATAGATAATAGATAGATAGATAGATAATAGATAGATAGATAATAGATAGATAATAGATAGATAGATAGATAGATAATAATAGATAGATAGATAGATAGATAGATAGATAGATGATAGATAGATAGATAGATAGATAGATAGATAATAGATAGATAGATAGATAGAAAGATAATAGATAGATAGATAGATAGATAGATAGATAGATAGATAGATAATAGATAGATAGATAGATAGAAGATAGATGATAGATAGATAGATAGATAGATAGATAGATAGATAGATAGATAATAGATAGATAGATAGATAGATAATAGATAGATAATAGATAATAGATAGATAGATAGATAGATAGATAGATAGATAATAGATAGATGATAGATAATAGATAGATAGATAGATAGATAGATAGATAGATAGATAGATGATAGATAATAGATAGATGATAGATATAGATAGATAGATAGATAGATAGATAGATAGATAATAGATAGATAATAGATAGATAGATAGATAGATAATAGATAGATAGATAGATGATAGATAGATAGATGATAGATAATAGATAGATAGATAGATAGATAATAGATAGATAGATAGATAATAGATAGATAGATAATAGATAGATAGATAGATAGATAGATAGATAGATAATAGATAGATAGATAATAGATAGATAGATAGATAGATAGATAGATAGATAGATAGATAGATAGATGATAGATAATAGATAGATGATAGATAGATAATAGATAGATAGATAGATAATAGATAGATAGATAATAGATAGATAATAGATAATAGATAGATAATAGATAGATAGATAATAGATAGATAATAGATAGATAATAGATAGATAGATAGATAGATAGATAATAGATAGATAGATAGATAGATAGATAGATAGATAGATAGATAAAAAAAGTAAAAAAAAAATCTATCTCTTCCTCTATATAGTTTCCAATTGTCAGCCATCATGTAAATGTATTTTTGCTTTCGGGGACAAACTGGAGCCTGGCAGGTCAGAAGGAAATGTCGGCGTGGACGTCACACAAGACGGGGTCAGTGAGGTCAAAGTGACAAAACCGAAATTATTTTATAGTTACATGAATGTGAATTTGGCTCGGGAGATTATAGCAAAGGGCACCTTAAAGTATAGAAGCTGAGATATTATGGGATGGATATGTAAAAGCAACACTCTATGTTTACGATGTATAAAATAAAGAAAATAATTCGGAGGGTTCAAACAATTGATGTAGATATTTGGGGCTCATTCGCACAAGCAGGCACATGCTCCGGTGCGCACACACTGATATACATTCCCAGTGCTTTTTTTTTGTTAACCTTTTTCTTTATTTAACCCCTCGCCCTCCAGAGGATTTCCCCCCCTTCCTGACCAGACCATTTTTTTCATTACGGCGCTGCGTTACTTTGACGATTGCGTGGTCGTGCAGTGCAACGCTGCACCCAAATTAAATTTACGTCCTTTTTTTTGCCCACGAATTGAGCTTTCTTTCGGTGTTATTTGACCGCCTGTGCGTTTTTCATTTTTCGCCTTATATAAAGAAAAATACCTACAACTTTGAGGAAAACACAATATTTTGGAGTTTTTCCTATTAAACATATCCAGTAAAAAAATTAAAAAAAGAAAATTTTGTCATAAATTTTGGCCAAAATGTATTCTGCTCCGTGTCTTTGCTGAAAAAAAATCCCAATACGTGCAACTTAATTGGTTTACGTGAAAGTTATGGCGTCTACAAATGGCGGTATAGATACTGGGAATTTTTTTTATTATTTTATTTTTACTAGTAATGGCAGTGATCAGCGACTTATAGCGGGACTGCGGCGTACATTCTGACACTGGGTGGGAACTGACTAACTGCCACTGACATCCTCAGTGACACCAATACAGTGATCAGTGCTAATAAAAAGCACTGACACTGTACCAATGGCACTGGGCAGGAAGGGGTTAACATGTGGGACGATCAAAGGGTTAACTGTGTGCTGTGTATGTTTCACTGTAAGCATGCTGCTATCCGTACAAATTAAAAAGGTGTGCAATGGTTGCCATCCTGCCCATCAACCTCGGAAGCCATAGATTCCCCAATTTCTCCCAGATGGGAAAAGGGAGCACAAAGCGACCGCTGGGGGCCCACAAATGCCAAAGTGTAGCAGACTTGGCATATATATAGGAAAAAACGTTACTGTGGTGAGAAGAACTTCAGGGGATATACACGTTACGTAGCTTTCCGCCATGAGAAGATGATGGCATGAGGACATATAATTGACATTTGTCCTCATACCTTCACACCCACTATTGATTATTTATCTTAATTCTTGTGGGTATCCCTGTAGTTAGGCTGAGGAAGACGTGAGATACCTCAACGTGTCCTACTGCACATGCCTGAGGGTGACATCAGATGAGGGTGGTTCCTGGTTTTGCAACCGCACTTCCAGGTCTGCTACCATCAGAGTACTCATGCTTTCAGCTGAGGTGTGGTG